ACGCCCCCTAGCCATGCCCAAAAGTGGGCCTGGCTAGTGACGTAGTTCACCGCCTACGTGCGTATACGTCTTTACGTCCGGCCGTATAAGTCTTTAGTCATGCCTAAAGTGGGTGTGGTTAGCAGTGCTGTAAACTGCTCTTTTATTACCTCATCTGTATGCACCTCTAGTAAGTCACATGGTTAATGGCGGCATACAGACTTCCTCCTACACCTAACCATCCGGGAAATGTAAATCAAAACAACTCAGAGATACCATCTTACTCCTGTCAGAATGGCTACAATCACAAACAGCAATGGCAGTTTATGCTGGAGAGGTTATGGTGAAAGGGGAACACACCTTCACTGCTGGTAGGAGTGCTGACTTGTGCAGCCACTTTGGAAATCAGTGTGGAGATTCCTCAGGAAAGTGGGAATCAGTCTACCACAAGACCCAGCAACTCTACTCTTAGGCATATATCCAAATGAGGCAAATTCATACAACAAGGACATCTGTTCCACTATGTTCATAGCAGCATTATTTGTAATAGCCAGAACCTGGAAGCAGCCTAGATACCCCTCAACTGAAGAGTGGATAGAGAAAATGTGGTACATTTACACAATGGAGTACTATTCAGCAGAAAAAAACAATGAAATCTTGAAATTTGCAGGCAAATAGATGGCACTAGAAGAAACCATCCTGAGTGAGGTAACCCAGTCACAAAAAGAGAAACATGCTATGTACTCACTCATATATGGATTTTAGACATGAATCAGGGGAGTGCCAGCATGCAATCCCACTGCCAGAGAGTCTGGGAAACAAAACCTTCATCCAGCGACTGATGGAAGCAGAGGCAGACACCCACAGCTAAACACTGAACTGAACTCCTGGAATCCAGTGACAGAGAACTGGTGAGCAAAGGGGTCAAGACTGGGCTGGTTTAACCCACAGAAACAGTTGACCTGAACAAGAGGGAGCTCTTGGACCCCAGACTGATGGCTGTGTGTAAAGCATGGGACTGACCAAGACTCCCTGAATGTGGGTGTCAGTGAGGAGGCCTAGGTAATCTGTGGGGCTTTGGGAAGTGTTTAGCCTTGGCATACAAATGGATGTTGGCTGCCCATCCCACAATGAGGGACTCTTGAGGGAAGGCCTAGGCCCTGCCCTGGATGAAATGACAGACTCTGGAGATCCACCATGGAGGGCCTCACCCTCCCTGGGGATTAGAGTGGAGATTGGGAGGGAGACTGGGGGGCTTGGTTGGGGGGGTGGGGAAGCAGGGGAGGGAGAGGGAGCTGGGATTGACATGTGAAGCAAGCTTGTTTCTAACTTAAAAAAGGAAGAGAAAACAGAGCTAGAGCTAGGGTTTGCAGATCGACTAGCAAGCACAAACCCTGGGTTCATTCCTGGGAGGACAGGGACGGGGAGAAAAAGGGAAAAGTTACAAAAAGACGGGTGTTGCTAGTATATAATTTATACTTGCAGGCAAATAAAAATTTTAGTGGTCATAGTTTCTAAACGTTTTAAAATCAACTTGGGGAAGGATTGGTTGAGCCTGGAGCTCATGGCTAGTTAGTAATGCAAGTCTCTGTCTCATAAAGAAAACAATAAAGAAAAACACAAGTAATAAACTCATGATGTTAAAAATGTTAAATGTTCAATCACTTTAACCATTAAGCAAATGGACTTTTCAAACTCCATGAAGACTTCATCTCAGGACAGTCAGGATGACTGTCACACGGAAGAGAAGAGTGAGACAGAGGATGTGAGGAAAGGAGCCCTTGAACACTGCTGCTGGCATGAAACCTGACTTAGCTCAGTAGGCTCTGAGGAAAAATTTAAATGAAAAGGTGCCGCAGGATCCAGTCATGCTACCTGTGCTCATATACAGAGTAAAGTCAACTTATTGTAGAAGCACTTGACCCCAGTATTTATTACTACAGCATCACAAGAGCCTAGCTGCCTCTCAACAGATGAATGGGTGGAGAACATGTTGCATGTACGCATAGAGTTTTACCAAACAAGAAAAAAAGAGTGAAATTGTGGCATTTTCAGTAAAATGTACTCAGGTAACCAAAGTAAGCCAGTCTCAAAACAACCGTAGAGTGTGTACCATAGCAGAATATTAAGCTTGTGGAAATGGAAAGGGGTGACTAAGAGAGAGTAATAGAGGTGACTATGATGAAAGCCACATATTCAGGTAGTAAAAGAATATGATGAAACCCATTGTTTTGTGTAATTTGTACTAATTAAAAGTCAAACAGTGAAGTGAATGAACAAACAAAATGATTTGTCACATTTGCTTTCCCTCCATCCCTGCCCATTTTCCTTTTATTTCTGCTGCTCTGGACTTGCATGTATAAATGATAGTTTTAGGTTTTAGAACATCTTCTCTGTCTTGAGCTCATATCCCTAGAACCTGGGCTAAAAGAACACTTAACAGTTACTCCTGACTATGTGCCCAAAGTCTGGGTCCTCTAAGTGCCATCTCTTGCCAGATGCTCAGAATAACCTAACAACACAGGTGCCACTATTTTTTCATACATGAAGAACTGAGGCAATACTAGGCATGTTTCCCAAGTCCCACCAATAGAAATGTGTAAGTCTAGAATTTTAGCATAAAAAGCCTAACTCCAGAGTGTGTCTGTCTTGCTTTGTTCCTGCAGTTAAGTCTGAGGATCAAATCTGTCTCCAAGTTTAAAGCATGTATATATGGTGTAATTCCACTGGCAGTGACATACTGATGAGGCATAGTATGATAAATATGTAATTAGAAATTTTGAAACAAGTAAAGGAAGGTCAGCCAGAGGTGATAATTTTGGAGGAAGAATTGGAAAACAGATTCTATCAGGCTCCTAAATTCAGTTAGCTATTTAAATTTGGAAGACAAGTATGACAATCACTATAGTATCACCTAAGCTAGTCATTTAAATTTGGATTGATGATGCAACCACTCCATGCTCTGGTTTTCCCAGCTAGAAATGAATGTGCAACTTTTGGAAGAACTGAACAAACCATATTTAGAAAAATACTTTACTCCAGATAATCCTAATGGATGTACACATAGGAATTGTATCTATTAATGGGTTACAGTGTGACACTCACACAAATGTATATGTAATGATGGAATCAAGATAACTGCATATCTATCATCTAAGATATTTATCATTTCTTGTAGAGGACTCTCAAAATCCTCTCTACTAGCTATGGTTTTCTCGTTCTGCTATAGAACATTAGAAATTATTCTTCTTTCTTTGCCATATCTTGGTACCCAATAGGCCTCTTTTCTCCATCCCTACTTCCCCAGAACGTTTCACAGATTCTGCTTAATACAATCCTATGCTTCAAAACATATAATTGATATATATATATATATATATATATATATATATATATGGTGTTTCTGTGTCTGGTTTTTCACTTAACACATGCTTTAAGAAAGCAATTCTGTCCCAGGGTCATGAGAGTGATGAGGCCAGCTCTGCCCCTCACCAGCTGCAGTACACAAGAGAGCAGGCCCTGCACTCTGCCTGCACAGCAAATTAGAGCTGAACTTGCTGTGGGGGCGGCAGGTGAGCCAACCTGGGGACATGAGAGCAGGATAGACGATAGACTAAAGGAAAGAAGTGAGTCAGAAGGCAGAAGCAAGGGACACGGAGGTAAGTGGAATCCGGATGCATGATGTAGAATCCACAGAGAATCAATAATAGGAAGAGAGAGAGAGAGAGAGAGAGAGAGAGAGAGAGAGAGAGAGAGAGAAGAAAGAATTTCTAAATATTGCATGGCCATCACTTTCTATGTAAGATGATATTATTAACAGTTTACTTGTTTATCTATTAAATTTTATGTCAGTTTTTACATTACCAATAAATTATGGAGTCTTTGCAGGTACTGAAATATAATATAATGCCAACTTAAAACAATCAGCAAAAATAAAGCAAATGGGGAAAACTGCATAGTAAACAGAGCTAAGGCCAAAATAAGTACACAGCGTAAGCCTACGCATGCTCATTATAAATCACATTTTGTTTTGTGGTTTGTGGCCACCTACAAGATGGAGGAAGCCCCCGCCCACCGCTGGATTTCCAGGGTCCACAAGCTGAAAAGGAGCTAATTGTCTAGATGGCACTGAAACTAAGCAGAGATAAATTTCTGCACTGGTCTGCCCAACGATGCAAATGACATCCTCAGCAAAATTCCAATAATTCATATATATTCTTCTTACCACATATTAGATCATAATTATATAAAATAATCCTTGGGACTACTTATTATGAAGCAGTCTATAGCTTTCTGACTCAGACCTAGCTCAGCTTTTAGAAGTTCTAATTAAATCAATAAAGCACACCCTAACGCTAATAATAACAATAATGAAATGTTAATTACTAATCTTTTCTTTGTTCAACAGTCATCGAACAGATATTCCATGAAATAGCTGCCGAAGACAGCAGTGAAGAAATCTCATAAAAGGTTCTGATCTGGTGGACTTCTGTTCTATGCTGAGAAGACGCATAACAACAAACAGGTTAAAGGTTGAAGATGCCTGCTAGTGAAAACTACTCCAGAAGAAATAATGAAGCAGGAAGGTAAGATGAGAAAGTAATAGCAGGATTAAAAGTCACTAGTGTAGCAGTGTGCAACCTCACACAATGAGCGTCCCACAGCATAGACATGAACCTTCTCAAGGCCAACACGAAGCAGCATTTAGATACTTGTTCTGTAACTGGCTGTCAACGAAAAGTTTTATGGAAATTGTATGACGTTTGGTGAACATGTTAGAATAAACTTAGTGCTATAGGAAGCACAAAACCATCAAGGAAAATGTCATTTGAAGCTACTACTGCATGGGAAACAGGCCAGAACTCAACCCAACTCAAAATGTATTGAAACAAATGACGGGTTATTCTTCGGGAGCTGGGCATAGCAATTGGAAGAGGTCTAGAGGGTGTTTCTGGAGGGGTGGCCCTGAGGAGGCTAGAGCACACTGAGTTTGAAAATATTTTTCTCTGTGATTAGGTCACCTGTGTTTTCAATTGCTGCACAATGAAGTTCGTCTCCTGCTTTCCAGAGAGGAGGGAGTGAGGAGTGCTATCCTCCTGCATGATTTCATTTCAAAAGGTGCCCAGGTTCTTATGAAAGGTCATCCTGAGCTGTAAAACTAGAAAGAGGATTTTTTTAAAGATTTACATATCAAAGATGCAAAGAAGGAATGTACAGTTGCAGATGTTCTAAAGTAAATGTTCTAAGAAAAGGGAGGTTAGGGGCCTGAATCAGAAAGAACTTGTCAAATTTAGTAAAGCTATGGACCTAAAAACCCTGCCAGGCAATGCATACACACACACACACACACACACAGTTAATCACAATGTATTTTCAAAGTATCAGCCATTCTAGAGATGTTCACAGGCTTCTTTATTATGTCATATTTACCTGCTAGAATATGAACAGTAAGTATTTTAGAGTATGTTTTTAACTCTATGAAAATCATCCTATATCATAGATGACAGCAAGTAACAAATTACTAATAGGGGATAATCAGGTCAACAGGTACACTATAGAAATCCAATAAACATTTTAAACATTATTTGGTTATGTAAGTTATTTCTCCTTGAAATACTATAGTATGGTTATTAAGCTATTCTTCATATTTTAAAAGCACTTGGAGAGTATTTCAGTATGTATTGTAAAATAATTTGTGGCTTGGTGAGATACCACAATAATCATATCCCCAGAGGCTCCACAACAGCCAAGGAGGAAGTTTGTTTGTGTTTGCACAGGCAATGACTTGGCATTCATGTTTCTACCAGTTGGTTCAACTCAAACTCATCATCCATTGAGAGATGAATTTAGCAATATCCACTGGTTCTACAATGTAAAGACATAACAGTCATGAGGTGCCTAAGAGTGACCAAGACAAATCATTCCAGAAGGTACCAGGAACCAATAGAGTAAAGGATTGTCACCTTCTTTCAGTGAACTTAATAAAGGCCATAATAAAATCCTTCACTGACCAAAGAAGTTTTTCTCATTACTAACACCAACATACAAAGAATTGACCATCTTAGTGAAGGTCAGTTAGTAAGGGTCATACAGATAAAAATCTGCAGGACATGGATTTTTCAAAGACTAGAAAATAAAATAGTACCAGGTCAAATACTATTAAGTAACATGTATTAATCTAACTACTGAAAAGGAGGGATAAAATTTTTGGAGAAATTCTACAAATTTTTACTTGAAAATTGTAAATCTTTGTGCTTAAGGTAGTGGGAATTCAGTTTTCATTTCATTGTGCACCTTCAATTTCAATCAGTCCTTGATTTTGTTCATGAGTCCAGAGATAAGAAATCTCTCTGGATATTTAAGTTGGGAAACCAGGTTTGAGGGACTCCCAGCTGACCATAATAGGTAAGATTTCAGTTCCAAGTAGGGCAGAGAAGATAAACAGAGCCGGCCATTCTGGGGTTGCTCCCATAATGTAACCTAGATTACCAGTCTCCTATTTCCCCTGTACTTCAAGGCACAAAGTGCTATGGTGTTGTCTCCTAGGGAAAACATGAACAATGTTTAAGGACCCTTGGCCATGCTCCTAGGAAACTCAACCCTCCAAGCTAGACATTGAAAAAAGTGGTATACTTTTTCAATACAGGTCAAGATTCAGCTACTCTTGACTATAAGGTGACTCCCTTAAAACTGGAGCTCACCTCCCCCTGTCTCAACTTCACTGAGAGCCATCTGAATCCCTAGAGCGTGAGAGTGCCTGGCCTGCATATGCTGTCACATCATGGCCCTCTAGCCTTTTGTGACAATGGACGAATAGGAAACACTAAATCTCTCCCCTTCCTCGTTTTCATTCCCCTCACTTCCAACTGTCACTGTGGCATGACTGAGATAACTATGTGCAGAAAGGAAAACAAGTGGTAGTGTGGGCTTCTGTATCTTGTACACTAGCTTGGCTGGTCATGTCAGCAGGGACAGTTCACATATGGAAAACGCACCAGGCAGGATAAATAACCTCTATTCTCTCGGCGTTTTAGACGTTACTAAATAGGAGGTATCACATATCTCTTTGGACTGCAATTTCTTTCCTTACAGGAAAACAGTCAGCTGAACAGGGCATGGGATTGTTTAGGTGAAGGTCCACTTGTGTCTCATTTCCAGATGTTTTGTTCGAGGAGGGTGGGATTTCTGTTTGTTCGTTTTGTTTTAGCTCTCTCAATGTTTTCTGCTCCTGACAACCCCATAAATCACTGGCACCTTGTTAATTACAGTGCACAACCATTCTTACTAAAAAAAACTGCAGGAAACTGGCAGGTGTGTGATGCCATCAAGCCTGGAAAAATATAGCAAGGTTTCCAGGAAGTGGACAAAATATCTCTCAAATGGCCGAAGGGAGTATCCTATGCAGATTCGCTTATTAGATTTGATTATAGTTCCTCATTTGTTCCCTTTGCAAAATATAGATCACATATACACTGTATGATGCATCAGCATTTTAATCTCAACAAGAAACCATGGTACTTGAAAGATTGCCAAGTAGAGAGTATTGCTCCTGAATTCCAAGAGGAGGAGAAAATCATTAAACCATACAGTTAGTAAGCTGGCCCTGACCCTGAAGGACTCTGGGCTTGTAAATAAAACATACTGTTTCCTTTATTTTGAACTTCTCCTTTCATGAGAAAAACTCTAAGATACACAGAGAGAGGTCTTCATGGCTTGGGGCTCTTATACTGCTAATGGCTTTTGACAGTGTGTTACAGCTTGTTTAATCCAATTGAATTTGATTATTCATGTCACTAACAAGATAAACAGGTTGACAGAGGGAATTTTGTCAGCCACTGGTTCATATTAATGTCTGAAAATGCAGTTGTCCAGAAAAGGAGATGAGGTAGGAGCGAAGCCAGAGAGATGGCATTGTAAGCAGACTATTGTTGAGATTGGAATCTGACCATGGAGAAAGGGTTGGCTGTGAGACTATTAACATTGTTCATCTAAAAAGCAGGATAAACATTTTTGGTAAAGTGCATACTTCCCATCAAAATTTAGTCCCAAGATGTATTATCAAACAGATCTGATCCACTGATCTGCTATACATATGTACACATGTCCACACACAAAGAGACACACAGACACACACACACACAGACACACACACTCCAGCTATAGAACACCTTGTTGTTTCCTAGATATAATCATGTCCTCTTTCTATTTCCATACCTTTGCGTGTTATAATTTTTTTGTGTTGTTTGCTTAGAATGCCCCTGAACTGATGAACTTTTAATCTGGCAAAATAGTGTCTGTTCAAATATGGTATATATTCACTCTTAAGTGGATATTAGACATAAAGCAAAAGATAGCCAGCCTATAGTCAAATTGAGGATTACTGTAATTGTCAGCATAGAACTTTTATCCGTTAACTGATGGAAGCAGATACAGAGATCACAACTAACCACTGGGCCAAACTCCTGGAGTCCAGAGGAAGGAGTGATAATATGAGCAAAGGAATCATGACCATAGATGGAGAAACCCAACAGCTGACACAAACTATTAGGAGCTCACTGACTCCAGACTGACAGCTGGGGAACCTACATAAGACCAAACTAGACCCCCTGAATGCCGGTGACAGTGAATGGCTTGGGCAGTTTGTGGGGCCACTGGCAGTGGGACCAGGATCGATCCCTAGTGCATGAAGTGGCTTTTTGGAGCCCAATTCCTATGGAGAGGGGCTCAGTATAGACACTGGAGTTAGGGTGGGGAGTTGGGTGGGAGAGAGTTGGGGTCCTGCCTTCCCTTAATAATGCTACCAATTTGGGATGAAGTATTCAAATAATTGAGCCTGTGAGAGACCTTGTCATCCAAGTTACCACTCTCAGCTTTGAGGAGTTCAACACTGAGCGATAGGGAGCTCATCTTCGAAAAGCACATTTGATCATTCAGGTGGCCTGTTCCTTACCTTTACCCCATAGCCTTGTGCCCTGAGTTTAACAAGCCAACAGGATTCAGTTGTTCGGTCTCCAACTCTGAAAATAACTTGTTTACACCCTAGGGTGGGAAGGCTAGATGCCAGTATTTCCATCAATGTGAAACACACAAATACCTATCGATTTGAATACTAATAACTGACAGACAACTGAACAGCTTATCAACTTCAGGCTTCAGAAATATCTAGATGTGCCAGTAGCGTGACGGCAACATTAGCTACTTTTCTTTATTGCTGGCACAAAATTCCCTACAAAAACAACCTGAGGAAGGGTTTGTTCCAGCTTCCAGTTTGAGAAGCATCTGTCTTGGCAGGAAGGGTGTGATGGGCGAGAGTTGCTCAAGACACCACATCACAACCACAAAGTGGCTGCTCAAATCGTGTCTGAAGCAGGAACCCGGAAGAGGGGAATGCTGGCACTAAACTCACTTTCTTCTTGTCCCTCTTAATCCGCTTCCCCAGCCCATAGGTTGGTGCCACCCACATTCGAGTGGGGTCTCCCCTCCTTAGATAATCCTCCCCTCCTCAGATAATCCTCACAGACACACCTGGAGGTGTGTCTTCCAGGTGACTCCAAATCTACTCTAGTTTGGTAAAGATTGGTAATCATAATAACTGATTAGACTCTGATTTCTTCCAGACAACCAGAAAGCTTTGGGTCAGTCCTTTGAATTGTTTTAAGATTTTTTTCTAATCACACAAATATTTGACAAAACTAACTTAGAAAATGGAATTACAGTATTACCTGATGTAAGCTACAAATCCTCCCCTAGTGTATAGGCAATATTCTTAGGCAGTTGTGCCCAGCGCAGTGGTTAGTCAGTACTAGTAAACTTCTTATATTTGTCCTAAATTTGTATTTTGAAATATTGTTCACTTTTTCTATACCCACCACTGTTTCATGCTGGGCTAGAACATGCCTGGGAAAAGAGTATATGGTAACAGATAGTGAATCGGGGGACTTGCTGCACATTATGACAGCTACGCTAACGAAAGCAGGCTTTCCAGCTCATCCATGCAAACACTGAGGGCTTTGCTATTGCTGTTACAGTTTCTACTTAGGTTCTTAAATACCTATTGAATGAAATGATGCTGTTATCCCACTCTTCTATGAGTAAGCACAAGCCCTCTTGCCTTCTTGTCTGAATCACCATGAGTAGGCTGGGAACCATTATGACTGGATCTTTTACTAGCTCATAGTCCTCAGGGGAAGTGCTTGAAAGGGCTGACTCATAGGCCAGTGAGTACAATGGTCTCCGTGTAGGGAAAAGAGACCAGTCAAAGAAACACACCCTGAGCAGAGCCAAAGAAACACACTTTGGCCCTGCAACCAGAACCAAAGAAATGTACCCTGACCCTGAAACCAGTGCCAAAGGAACACACTTTGTCCCTGGAATCAGAGTCAGTGAAAGAAATGCACTCTGGCCCTAAAATTGGAGTCAAAAGGCTAAAAAGGACCAGAGAAAGAAACACACTTTGACCCTGAAACCAGAGCCAAATCTGGCCCTAATCCTGTGCAGAAAACTAGCCAATCCTTGAGCAGGAGCTCTAGCCAATGTGAGCTCAGCATTAAAATCTGACCAATCCCACCCTGAAAGCCCTATGTGTCTGTTCAGCTTCAGGCTGTTCATGCTACCCAGCTGTCCTCTGCCAGTCTTGCAGAGGGCAGCCACTCTCCTGGATTCTTCCCTCCCAATAAACCCCTTCGATAAGCTTTGAGTGAAGATCCTCTTTTGCAACAGTGGAGCAAAGGAGACTCTGGACAGAGCAGAGTGAGTGGGGCTGTAAGACTTTTGCCAGGGAAACCTTCCCCTGGCAGAGCAGAGTTGTTACACTCCGGTCTCCATTCCTGGAAGCAGAGCAGAACTGTTGCAACTTCGCCTGAGAAACCTCCTGCCAAGCAAAACTGCTACACTGGGCAAATTCCTGGGTTCTGGTTCCCTCACCCCATGTGACTCTATTTCGTGTCAAGTCGACAAAACTAGCCAGTGCACGCGCACACACACACACACACACACACACACACACACACACACACACACTACCACCAGCACCACCATCATTATCATCTCATCATCACACATGCACATTATTAATAAATACAATCATAAAGATAAAAATAAAAGTTACCTGAGGGTTGAGGGACAAGGTGGCTAATCTTGGTTGCTGACTTGAATCTGGAATCAATTAAACCAGAATAAATGGGCATGCCCATGAAGGATTTTCTTAATTGGATCATTTGAGATCAGAAGACCCAGTCTAAACCTGGGACATACCTCCAGGTAGCAACCTATATAAAAAGAACACAAAAGAAGGAAGTTTTTGAATTTTGCCTGCTTGCCCTCATTCCCCATGGCAAGTTCATCTATCCTGCTGCTGAGACATTCATTCACTAGCATTAAAGTCTACTTCTTCAGGGTTCCAATGTACACTGAAGACCAGCTGAGACAGCCACCTTCAGAGACTAAACAACCATGGTATTCTTAGCTTTGCTATTGGGAGACAGCCGTTGTTAGATGAACTGGACCACAGCCTGTAAGCTACTGTAATAAATCCCATATATTCATGCTATCAGTTCTATTCCTCTAAAAAAGTCCAGACTAATACAAAAGAGTAGGAATTTGCCAATACAAGAAGGGGAGGAGAAAGGAAGAGGTTTAAAGCATTCCAAAAACATTCACTTGTTCTTGCAAAGAGAACACTGTGAAAACAAGGAGCCTACAGAAACTCAGAACTTCTCAAGGTTGTGGTGGAATGTGTGCTTTGAAAGTTTAAGTGGTGGAAAGTTAATCCCTGGATTCATATGTTGACGATAGGAGGAAATGGAGTCTTGGGGTGAATAATTACACAAGATTATGATGGTAGGAACTCTATAAAGGCATTAATGGGTTTATGAGGAGAAAGAGAGACCAATCTAGGATTCTTGCTCTGGCTCACCATTCCTTGTCTTCTGCTTTATTATAATGCAGTAAGACTGCCCTTGACAAGCAAAGATACATTTGAACTACCTAGCCTCCAGAACTGTGAGCTAGATAAAATTATATTACTCATAATTTATCCACTTCTGGTCATTCTCGTTTAGTAACAGAAAATAGACTAAGATGTCCAGCTTCAAAGAGGAATGGAAAGTGTCTTTGTTGAAGAGGGAACCAAGAAGGAATGTGTAAGAGCAGATGAAGTCTTGAGTGAATGTGTGTTGTTGACATGGGCATGGCCATGTCAGGGACCCCAATGCCTCAGACCAATGGGAGTAACAAAAATCTTCCCTGGGTGAGACTCAGAGGCATGGCAAAGTCTTCCTTTAGTCCAAGTATGAGTGTTTAAGAACAATTGACCAGGGTGTGTAAAACCTAGCAGCCACAGCTTTCTCTTCTTGGATGACAGCAACCTGAACCAGCTGACCTCCAAAGACCCACCCCAACAAGGTTAGCTAAATCTACTTCCTTGTTTAACTGTATACCATGAAGCTGCCTCCTTATTTGGCTGAGTGCAATACACTTGCCTCCTCAATTCAGATGCAGAAGACAAACTGAGTTTCTAGTCGCTGCTGCTGTAGTTCATGCCCTCTGTGAGAGCAAGCACAAACCACATCCCAGCTTTCCTGTATGAGTGTCTGCATATCTAGCCTTCCTTCTGTCACGTCTGCTGCGCGGCCTGTGTCCGAGAACGTGCGGAGGGTGTCAGGGATTGACAACACAGAGACTCGTTCAATGATATAAAGAAAACTTTAAACAGGCTCCAAAGAGGTTCAAGAAAACCTCCTAAGAAAAGCTCCCACCAGAGAAGCTTCTGCTCTCTCCTCTACCCTGGCCGGTTCTGCTCTGACTCCAGAGGTGGATGTGTGTGGGTTTTGAAGGTGCGCTTAGTTTTTGGACAAGGTCGAGGTCAGGGCGGTTTCCGTGGGAAGGCCTTTTCCAGGAACTTATTGTATCGTTTTTAGTAAACATGTTTTTACTAAACATTGTCTTACAGCTGCCTACTCCCAGGCAGAAGGGGAAGTGGGTGTCTGCTCAAGGTCTGGTGTTCCCACATCCTTCATTCCCATCTCCCCCGTTGGGTCAATCCCTGAAGCCAAGCAGAGAACAACGAAGGTAGAGGGGAGATGAATCTGAAACCCAACAGTCAGGCTGTAGATGAAATGGTTAGCCATGTTAAAGTTGTTGGTAAACTCTGCTCTAATGAAAATAAAGTCAATTAAACAGCATCTTTCCTCTCCCCTCCCCCTCTCCTGCTACCTCTCCTCTTCTAGAAAATATGGCACTAGAAGCAATATGACCATGGAATCATGGGCAAGTTAGGATGTAAGACAGGAAATAGGTACTAATGTAAGTGATTACTTACTCTAGAAAGAGAGAGAAAAAGATGGAGCTGGGAATTATTAGAAATTCGGATGCCTTCAAGGAAAGGGGAACCAAAGGAGAAAGTAATGGAGGTGCTAGAGAGATAGCTCACTTGGTGCTTGCTGCACATACATGAGGACCTGGGTTTAGATCCCGGGGATGCTCACAAAAGCAAGCCATGGAGGTGCATGTCTATAGCTCCAACACTAGTGGAGCAGACACAAGTAGATCCATGGAGCTGACTGGTCAGCCTAGCATATCAATAGACTCCAGGATAAGTGAGAGACCCTGTCTTAGACAATAAGGTGTAGATCAAGGAGGAAAACAGCTCACATTGCCCTCTGGCCTTCATGTACACACATGCACACACCCACCTGAACACATCCATCCTACCTAAAACGCAAGAAAGAGAAAACAAAGGGAAAGAGAGAACTGGACACATAGGAATCAGGATGACTACCTGAGAGCATGGCTGTTTGCTGAGCTCAAACCCAGGATTCCAAAAAACAAACACTAAAAACTAGTTGTCACATAGAGTCGCTCTGATCACTATTTCTGTTTGTTTCTTGCAAATCATTTGCGGGAGACCTTTAGCCTTCAGTGAAACCTAAGAGCTGTTTGTGAAGCACCAGATAGAAGTTATAAATCAGTCCTCAAAATGGGGAAACATCCTGGTTTTTAAGGCAGAGCCAATGCAATCTCAGAGTTATTGAGTGCTAAGGAGGAAGGTGGGAGAGTTGGTGTCAAAGCAATGCAGCCAGTAGCTGCTGCTCAGTAAAATCCTGGGCAGCCTTGAGAGCTGGGAAATGAAAGGAGACCTTCTTTCCCAGACTCCAAGAGCCATCACAGCCCACCAGCACCTTGATTTTAGGTCTACATCAGGCTTCCGAGCTTCAGAACCCAAGGGTAAGTCTGTGGTTTCTGGGAAGCTTGTGATTATTTCTTGTATACAAGGACGTAGTATTATAGCCCTTAATTGTATGCACAACATTTTGAGTTCCAATTTAGGGGAGTTAATTGTTTCAGGATGCAAATACTTGATCGTGGTGAGGTTTCATAACTTGAATAGAAGGCAGGAACAAGATATGTTTCTGGTTTCTTTCATTTCTAAAGACAAAATTTACTTATTACTACAATGGAATCTTGAAATTCACAGGCAAATGGATGGCACTAGAAGAAACCATCCTGAGTGAGGTAACCCAGTCACAAAAAGACAAATGTGGAATGTACTCACTCATATATGGATTTTAGACATGGAGCAGGGGATTGCCAACCTACAATCCCACAGTCAGAGAGTCTGGGAAACAGGGAGAACCCTAAGAGAGATATGCATGGTACCCTAGAGAAGAGGAATGGGACTGAGATGGGATCTCCTGAGGGGATTGGGAGCATGGGAGGAGGGGAGGAGAGAGGAAGCTGGGAGAAAGGGAGGGGGAAAAGAAGGGGAGGACATGGGAGGCAGGAAGGTTGAGTCGGGGGAAGAATATAGGAGAGCAGGATGAGAGATACCATAATGTAGGGAGCCATTATAGTTTGAGAAGAGATCTGGCACTAGTGAGATTTTCAGAGATCTACAAGGATGACACCAACTGACAATCTAAGCAATAGTGGAGAGGCTACCTTAAATGCCCTCCCCCGATAATGAGATTGATGCCATCCTAGAGCCTTCATCCAGTGGCTATTAGAAGTAGAGGCAGACACCCACAGCTAAACACTGAACTAAACTCTTGGAACCCAGTGTCAGAGAGGGAGGAGTGATGAGCAAAGAAGTCAAGACCAGGCTGGTGAAACCCACAGAGGCAGCTGACCTGAACAAGGGGGAGCTCACGGACCCCTGACTGATGACTGAGAGGCCAGCATGGGACTGATCCAGACCCCTGAACGTGGGTGTCAGTGAGGAGGCTTTGGCAATCCATGGGGCCTCTGAGAGTAAATCAGTATTTATCCCTGCCATACAAATGGACTTTGGGAGCCCATTCCACATGGAGGGATGTGCTCTCGGCCTAGACACTTGGGGGAGGACCTAGGCCCTGCCCAGGATGATATGACAGATTTTGAAGATTCCCTCATGGAAGGCCTCACCCTCCCTGGGGAGCGGAGAGGGTATGGGGTGGGGGGTTGGGGGAGTTGGTAGGGGACAGGGGAGGAGGGGAGGGAGAGGGAGCTGGGATTTACATGTGAAGCAAGCCTGTTTCTAATTTAAATAAAAATTATTTAAGCAAAATATACCAGTATTTCTACTAAAGCCTAAGCCCTATGTAGTTGAACGTGGCATTCTATGGGGACATGAAGTGAAATGAGGTCAATTAGTAATATGACAGCTACGTTTAGCAATTCGATAATTTCACTTGTAAGGCTTCAGGGTGGAGAGCCAAGAGAACCATTGCTTTATCCCTTTGTTCCTTAGCCCATTTCCAGTGACAATCAGCTTTTGCTTTACTTCTAGGATGGAGCTTACAAGTCTGGCTGAAGAAGCACACTTTCCCTGGCAGGGATTTCCTCCACCTTTCACCCTGGATCTCACCCTGGTCCAGCAAGTAAACACAGCAATCATTCTGTCCCTCATGCTCAAGCCATGAATCCAGGCCCCTTCATCCTGGAAACTTCATCCCTGAACTTCTCTACTGATTAACTCAGAAAGAAAAACAATAGTTTTCTTCTTCTGTACATCCAGCAAATTTTAGTGCATATCATGTCTGCATTAATGGCCCTGGAAGTGCAATATTGTGTGTGTGTGTGTGTGTGTGTGTGTGTGTGTGTGTGTGTGTGTATACACTAAAAGTCAGTGTCATTTATTCTTACACTACGGGTCTGTAGGTACCTATTTTGGCTAATATGTACTCTATTTCAGGCTCTAGGTTAGCTTATCTTGGCTCCCTACTATAAGTTCTTTCCAAATCAGTCCCAGGTATGTCTATTCTAAGAAACTGCTATTCAGGCCATGTTCTTATTCTGAAATTCTAGAGCACAAGAGGACAAGATAAGTGTTAAGCACATTTCTAGTCTTACCCGTTTAAGCCCAAAGTAGAGGAGTAGGAAAATGTAGCTCACTAGCATGAGAGCTGAGCAAGAAAGGACATGGTACAACTGTATCACAAGCCAAGGAATCACTGAGGACAACTCTCCAGTCTTGGCATCCAGGGCATGTGCTGTGTTTTCTTGTGAGCCAAGTTCAGGGAAGAGCAGAAAGGAGAAAGAGGAAAGAGAAACAAAATACGTTTGGAATAGATTTGGGTCAGCTGAGTTCCCAACAATTAATCCCAAGGCAGTTCCAAATCCAGATAACACAAGCAGGCTTTATTTGGTAGTGAATTTCATTCTCGTTCTACTAGTATAAGACATCCACATCATCTTCTACAGCTGCTTTCTCCATGCCCCACACACCTAGATATTCTCTTACTAGTAATAGATACACAAAAACCGTGCTACATCTGGAGTTTGAAAGACTCACGTTTCAACTGTAGACCTTTGAGGTAGTTGTTAAGTAACTTTGAACGAGCTCTTCATTATTTTGGGCCTAAGTTCTTACCCATCTTTAAATTATGGTGATATATGCTGTGAAGTTCTTACAAAGATTAGCTGTGACACATCAGTGATTATGGCACGTATAAGGGATACAGTACATAAAAACTAATTTTCTTGTAATTAGTACTTAGCCTCTGCCTTTCTGTCCTGTCTTTCACTCAGGACTCCACTGCATAAATATCAGAAGAGCCAACTGTCAACATTGATCATCTGAGCTGTGGCACTGGAGGTTGAGAGCACACCTGCAGTATGAATTACATTGGTAAGTTGTCATGTGTTCTTTGTACCTGAAGGGAGATTAAATATGAGAACAAGAGACAGGCACCTTTGCCTCAGAGGTAGCATGTTTGCCTGCACTGACCTCTGAGATCCCTTGTCCTGGGTCAGTCTAACTCCCTGACTCTATAACAGGAAGGAAAAAAAACAGCAAATGGCTCAGGATATTAAATACTTTGTGCCTTCGGGACAACTAAGTGGCCCAGTGGCTAAGAGTGCTTGCCACCAAGGCTGATGACCTGAGCTCAGTCCCTGGAACCCACATGATAGAAGACCATTATGGACTCCTGAAAGCTGTCCTGACATCCACTAGTACACTGTGGCACATGAGAACACACACAAAACAAACAAATAAATAGAATGTGGCCCGGCAGTGGTGGCACACGACTTTAGTCCCAGCACTCGGGAGGCCAGCCTGGTCTACAAAGCGAGTTCCAGGACAGTCTCCAAAGCAATACAGAGAAACTCTGTCTCAAAGAAAAAAAATAGAATGTAATGAACATTTTAAAAATTAGGAACAGCTATATGGTAAACCATTCCCAGCTGAGGTTGTTATGGTTCATCCCACAGAATGAAAAAAAAAACTGTAATGGTTATGAGACACAGAAAGCCCGACTACAGAGAGAACACTCGGCTCTGCCTGTGACTTACTCAGGAGCCCAGCATGACTGTTCCAGCAGGAAACCCCAGTCATTTCTGCTGGATTCTATAAGTGTCCGGTTTGATGATGGCCTACTATCTATCTACTATCCTCAATTTATTCTCTTACTTTTGCTTGCTACCCATAGCTACTAAGCTCACTCATTTGAAGCTGAAAATACGGCTCTCTTAACTCATCCTCTGGACAGAGCAACACTGTCTGGGGACCTTTGCAGGTCAGCAAGCCCTTGACTCTACTCTAATTCTTCTTCCATGAGCCTATAGTATGTGGTATTTACTAGAGGAAACACAGATACGAACTTTCAAGAACATATGTGTGGTGTCATGTGGTCAGCTCCCATTAACTACTAAGAAATTCCACCTTCTGTCAGGGTGCTTTGGATCAGTGGGATTTAGAAGCTGTCAGTATTCCTTTTTAAGACAGAAGAAAGGTCCTCACCGATATCTTACTTTATGTTGATTTCCCCTGCAGTTTTCTTTTTTTTCTCAATATATGTTTTATTTAAATTAGAAACATGTATGCTTCACATGTCAATCTCAGCTCCGTCTCCCACCCCTCCTCCCTTGCCCCTCCACCAGCCCCCCCATCCCCCAGCCCAATCCCCACATCATTCCTCAGGGAGGGTGAGGCCCTCCTTGGGGGGATCTATGGAGTCTGTCATTTCATCCAGGGCAGGACCTAGGCCCTTCCCCATGTGTCCAGGCTGAGAGAGCATCCCTCCATATGGAATGGGCTCCCAAAGTTCATTCATACGCCATAGTGAACACTGATCTGTTACCCAAGGTCCCAGACATTTCTGAGGCCTCCTCACTGAGACTACATTCATGGAGTCTGGATCAGTCACCTGTTGGCCTCTCAGCCATCAGTCTGGAGTTCAAGATCTCCCCCCTTGTCCGGTCAGCTGTCTTTGTGGGTTTCACCAGCATGGTCTTGAACCCTTTGCTCATCACTCCTCCATCTCTGTCACTGGGCTCCAAGGGTGCAGCTCAATGTTTAGCTATGGGTATCTGTCTCTGCTTCCATCAGTCACTGGATGAAGGTTCTAGGATGGCATATAAGGTAGTCATCAACCTTATCATCAGGGAGGAGCCATTAATGTAGCCTCTCTGATATTGCTTAGTTTGCCAGTTGGTGTTATCTTTGTAGATCTCTGGAAATCTCACTAGTGTTAGCTCTCTCCTCAAACCTACAATGACTTCATCTATTATGGTATCTCTCATCCTGCTCTCCTTTATTCTTACCCCGACTCAACCTTCCTGCTCCCCATGTCTTCTTCTCCCCTCCTCTTATCCCCCTCTCTTTTTCCTGGTTCCCTCTCCTTCCCCCCCCCATGCTCCCAATCTGCTCAGGAGATCTTGCCTCCACTTCTCTGAGGTATCATGCATTTCTCTTGGGAACCTCCCTGTTTCCCAAACTCACTGACAATAGAATTGTAGGTTGACACTCCCCTGATCCATGTCTAAAGTCCATATATGAGTGAGTACATACCATGTTTGTCCTTTTGTGACTGGGTTACCTCACTCAGGATGGCTTCTTCTAGTGCCATCCATTTGCCTGCAAATTTCAAGATTCCATTGTTGTTGTTGTTGTTGTTGTTTTTGCTGAGTAGTACTCCATTGTATAAATGTACCACATTTTCTCTATCCACTCTTCAGTTGTAGGGCATCTAGGTTGCTTCCAGGATCTAGCTATTACAAATAATGCTGCTATGAACATAGTGGAGCAGATGTCCTTGTTGTATAAATGGGCATCTTTTGTTGTCTTTGGATCAAGATGTAGAACTCTCTCTCAGCTCCTTCTCCAGCACCATCTCTTCCTACATGATGCCATGGACTACCATGACAATAATGCACTAACCCTCTGAACTGTAAGTCACCCAACTAAATGTTTTCCTTTACAAGAGTTGCCATGGTGTCTCTTCACAGTAACAGAACCCCAACATACATGACATAACAAATTACAATAAGACTAGGCACAAACTCTCATATCAAAACTGGATGAAGCCATCCAGTAGAAGGAAAAGGGTCCCTAGTGTATTATCCTGCTGTCTTATAGAACCCAGGACCACCATCCAAAGCATAGCATCACCCACAATGTGTTGGGTCCTCCCACATCAATCAATAATTACCATACAGGCTTGCCTACAGCCTGATCTTATAGAGGCATTTTCTTAACTGAGGTTCCCTCTTCTCAAATGACTATAACTTGTGTCAGGTTGACATTAAACTAGTCATCACATATGGCATAGCTTTAATTTGATAATAGATCATGCAATTATTTTTAGAGGGTCCAGTTCATTTCTTGTTAGCACTTGGCACAGCAGGTATTCTAAAAATATTAGGCAAGTTAATTAATTTTTTAATTATGGATAAATTTGAGTTCTAAACAACCTGAGGACTTCTTAATTAAATACACACTAAGTTCAGTGATTTTACTTATTGACTCAAAATGCATCCATTACTGTCTTATATCTCATTTTTAGTCTATTATTGCAAATGATTGTTAGCCTAAGGCGTTAATATTTGAATTATAATAAACCAGTCTCTAAGTGATTTATTAGGCAATAGTTGAATTTCTTACTTGGTATGCATAATACAGAATTTCAGTTAAAGAGGAGAACACTACAATCTAAACAGAGACAAATTTGAATTTGCAAAATGAAAGGAAATGTTTACATAGAGCTACTATTATTCCATAATATGATTTTTAAACAACAGGAGTGAGTTTTTCTTTGGGGGGGTTGAAACAGGGTTTCTCTGTGGCTTTGGAGGCTGTCCTGGAACTTGCTCTTTTAGACTATGCTGGTCTCAAACTCACAGAGATTCGCCTGCCTCTGTCTCCTGAGTGCTGGGATTAAAGGCACCACCGCTGCTCGCCTTGGAGTAAAATTCTGACAAAATGATGTAACTCCTATCTACATCTTGCTATACCCATCAATGCATTGGGTAAGGCCCATAAGAGAAATTTCTTTTAACGATATGTGGCAAGTAACTCTGAAATGGCAAATGAATTATGAGCAGAGTAAGAGATCTTAGAATATTCCAGTTTCTCTGCTGCAGTTTCTTTAGAATACAAATAAGATACTTGTCAAATTTTTAAATGATTATCATAAAATCAGAATTCAGAATTTGAACTGAATTTGTAGTTGGAGGGTTGATGAAGAATTAGATACACACAGACTGATACATGTGGGCTTAGAGAGAACACATATTCTGATTTGTTGACTGATATAAATGTATACTGTACATGAACTCTATACATAGTTTCATATGCCATGCATGCAATGCAAAACATAATTTTAAATAATTCATAAAATTACAGAGTGCCTTTTTTGTGAAAAAGTTTCTAAATAACATAACTTTAATGAAAATCATATGTGTTATATGTGAATATATTATATACATGTGTGTATCCACAGAGGAAATTAGCAAAATTGAAGTGATGTTGCATAATATAATGATATATTGTTTTTCTTCTGTCATTCAACAGTACATGTTAAAGAATGATTCTTTATTCCAATCTTTATTTGCATTGTTTCAATTACTATATAGCATCTCACAGTGTGTATTTACTGTATCCTCTATTGTCAGATACTCACGATGTTTTAAAGGCCTTATTGTTATGCAAAAGACAGTAAAGGTTACAGGAGCTGACAGCTCCTCCATTCTCCCAGAAACAGACTTTGAACTAAATAAA